AGGAAGAGAGTATGCAATGTGTTAATTATTGAAACTGTCCTACCAATTTGATTTGAAACTGTCTCATTGCTATTTGTCTCTCAATAAAATTATGGAAAAAAATAAATAATAAATAAAAATAAAAATGGGCATCTGAGATGCATATACACTTCTCAAGGGAAGAAATACAAATGATAAGTAAATATATCAAAAAATGTTCAACATCATTGGTCATTCAAGAAATGCAAATTAAAACAAGACTAAGATTCCATCTCATCCCAGAAAGAATGGCTAGCACCAAGAAGTCAGCCAATAACAAATGCTGGAGAAACTGTGGAGAAAAAGGAACACTTCTGCACTGTTGGCGTGAGTGCAGACTTGTACAACCACTATGGAAATCAGTATGGAGATTTCTTAAAAAGCTAAGATTAGAGATCTCAGTCAAGCTAGCTATTCCCTTCCTGGGTATTTTTCCAAAACACCTGGAAAAATCTCATACCACAGCGATATACATGCGCCATGTTTATAGCAGTGCAGTTTGTCATACTAAATCCTGGAAATAACCCAGATGCCCATCAACTGAAGAATGGATAAGGATACAATGAAGCATTATTCAGCTGTAAAACAGGATAAATTTGAGCCTTTTGTTGGTAAATGGATACAACGAAAGAACATAGTCGCAAGTGATATAAATCAGACCTGCATGTGGAAACATCATATTGTCTCCTTAGTGTAAGAACCTGGAAGAGAAAAATGGAATATGAAAGGTACAATAGATACTGGGAAAAGGGAAGAAACATATTCAAAAGAAAGAATTACTGAGTTGAGGAGAAGGACAGACGAGGGAGTGGGGAAAAGAGATTTACCTACGTATGTAAGCAGAATGGTTTGGACAACCGTACTGTGCATTTCTGCTGGTCTATGAAAAGAAGCAGTAAATGTTTTAATTTGTTTTGTTTTCTTTTTTTCACTTGTTCTTTTATCTTCTTAATTTCTAATAGATTTGTCTCTTTTTTTCTTTCTTCCAATTTTACATGCATATATCTGGTAATATGAATAACTGGTTGGAAGACAACATTATGTATTACAACAAATCAGTGAAATTCATATTACTTTGTTAAGTGAAAATCTTTATCACTCATAATTTTTTGCTTTAGTTCTAATTTGCACTCTGAAAAATAAAAATAGAAAATGGAACCACACCCTAATCCACTGTTATTCAGAAAATGTAGTCATTAAATCAGACATGTTACTTGATAAACTTTTTCTCACCTTTGTTCAAATTGAACAACTCTACTTTCACCACCAAGTGCAACCATATTTTAAAATCTAGTCTACATTCTTATAATTCTTTACGACACAAGATAATCAGCAAAGTAATGAACCAAACCCTGATTTGTAATGTTTGCCAATATCCACAGTTCAAACATTGCCACCCTGGCCTTTTGCAATTTTCTGGGACAATGCAGACACAGAGCACTGAAATGATTGATTGGGACTGTTTCCTGTGTCCAAGCTTTTTGGATTTGGGGATAGACTTTAGTGGCTGAGCATCCCTCATATGAAAAATGTAAATTCCTAAGTTTTCCAAAATCCAAATTTCATCACTTAAAAAAAAAAACCTGGATTTTGGAGTATTTCAAAATTTGGTTTTCAGATTAGGGATACTCAGTTTGTATATATAACAGCTGAAACTGAAGAAAGTGGACAAACTGGAGAGCATTTAGGGAGATCTGCTGGACGATGGGGTGAAGCCAGCGTTTGAAAAACATCAGACAGAAAGGGGTACCATGGGTATCACAAGAGAGAAGAAAGAGGAGGCGACCATGTGGCTGACTTAAGCTATATTCTCTTTGAGGCGCTTTGCAGCACATCCGGGAGAAATAGCTGAATAGAAAAGTAGATAAATGAGTTTTGAGCTCAGACAAAGCAGGGACCAGTGTGGTAAACTTGAGATCTATTGATTGAAATGTTAGCAGTAAGCAAGTCATGCAGGGAAATTTTGTGGCGTAAGAGGAAACGCTGACCTTTAGAACTCTTACTTAGTAGAGGTCATTCAGGACTGATAAGCACCTCAAGGAGACCCGGGAACAGGAAAGAGGGCTGAATGCCAGGCCACAGTAAGAATGTGTTATAAGCAAGAAGGACTTGTACAGACTCCACGGGGTAACATTAGGAACCAAAGCGTCCTCGGATTTAGTTACCCAGTTGGAGACTATAAAACTGGGGTCGCGCAGCGCTATCACAAGCACAAGGTTAGGTTCAATTCCCCACACCAAAAACAAAAACGAACACACAAACAAAAAAACCCTTAAGCGATGGAGAGGAGTGTGCTGGAGGCAGTTTCAAGAGCACTTAGAAGGGAGGACAGAACATGTGGCATCCATTAAATGCCGGGAATACGCACTTTCAGTCCCAAGACCGGTGCGATTCTGTGATGCTGTAACCCGCAGGAAGAGTGTCAGTGCTGATAAGTGGTTTTAAGGTTTCACGGTGAGTTTTTTGCTGCCGCCTTCCTGCCTCAGTCTCCTCGAAGTGCCAGGAGTGCTTAGAGGCGCGTGCCACCACGCCTGGCCTCTTTTCGCGAAGCTAGTGGCCGACATCACCTGAGAATGGGGCTGGGGCAGCGTGGCACTGAGCTGAGGAGGGGACCCCGAGGACCCAGTGGCAGGGACACAAGTGGCGTGGTTACGGCCCGGTGAAGCGCTGCAGTAGGTAGGGTTCTTGGAGGAGCCCGGCCTGGGCAGGAAGAACAGCATTTCCCTAGCGTTGCGAAAGGCACCGTGGAGACCTGCACATTTCCAACAACTCCGCGAGGCAGGCACAAGTCTGGAGTTGTGTTGTTCACAAGGGCGCTACAGTCGCACCGCGAAGCGCGTGAGACAAGTCACAAATAGACCCGGGAGCCCCCGGATTAGAGAAGACAGGTGGCTCCCACATCCCTACTCCCAGGCCGCCCTTCCCCTCCCGCCAGCCCCGCCCCGGCCCAGCCCAGCGGCGAGCTATCCGCTTCCTTCTCTCCCGCGGAGTCAGTCTGGCCCTGCGCCTTCTTTGCCGCCGATTGCGTCCCCTTGCGTGACGTCACCTGCTTGTTCACCAATGAGCGGTAGAGGGCCCGGCTGCGGCATGTGAGTGACGGGAGAGGTAGCCGATTGTAGCGAGGAGGCGGGGCAGGGGGGGTGCGAGTGGGAGGCCCGGGCGAGTGGGGAACCGCCGGCAGCGTGGTCTGGGGCGTGGGGGGCGCGGCGGGGGGCGGTGCGTGGGCGGCCCGTCCCCTGCGGGTTGCTGGCGGGCGGGCGCCGGAGCTGCTGGAGTTTCCGCACGCGGGAGGGAGATGCGACCGCGGCTGGGGCTCCTTGCAGGTAACGCGCGGGGCGGCCCCTGCAGGGCCGAGCGCGCGGCGGGGCGAGCGGAGTTGGGCGCGGAGCGGGCGCGGGGTCCCCGCCGCAGCTCATCCGTGAGTCCCGTGGGGCGGCCCGGGCCAGGGACAGAGGTATAGCGTAAGGAGTTGGCTGCAGGACCTCGAGCTGCGGCTGGGCACGCGGGCCAGAGTGCTGTGCGCCCCCGGAAGCAGCCCCGGGACAAAGGGCGCGGTGCAGAGGGTCACCCAGCTGCTGGCTGGCCCTTGGCCCCGAGCCCACGTAAGGCGCAACCACTTGGCTGCGGGGTCCCCCGCACCTGCCGCCCCCTGGCGCAAAGCAAGCAATGCTGGGCACCGCCTGGCCGCTTTCCCCAGGGTGCGAGGCGGCTCCCCGCAGCGCTAGGGGTGCCAGCTACTCCACGCCGGCTGCTCTCCACCCAGCCAGGGCTCCTGCAGCTGGGGTGCTGCCACTTCCTGACATGGGCTAAGAGTTGGAGAAGCCGAGCAAGTGGTGCACCCCCGCGTCACCTCCTACGATCCGCGCGGGATGCCCGGTCTTGTTGATGTTGTGACTGGACTGCTTGTGTGTTTTCTTTTTTTTTTTTAAACACACACAAAAGAAGGGAGGAGTTAGAGCCACGCTCTAGCCACTGTGAGTCATCCCCACTAAGCTTCTTCCCGAGATCAGATGGATGGGGAGTATTCCTTGGGAAGCAGTACGGTGAGGATTGACTGTATCTTCTGCCTGGCCCCTCTTGCGTTATGCGACCCAGCCAGCACTTCCCAGGTGGAGGTGGGGCAGAGGCACGCTGGCGACTTAGAGAGGAAAATGGCTCCGAGGTAGCAGGCTGGAAACTTTGCATGACAGAACCTGTGCATGTGGAATCACACAGACATTATCGGGCATCACTGAAGTAAAAGTCCCTCAAAGGCGACCACACTAGGGCATGTAGCCTCTATAGCATCTGATCCAGGCTTCGGGGAGGAAAGACCCCCGGGGTAAGAGCGCCTGCTCTCCAGTTTGGGCTACTACCAGTACCTGGGATGCTGGGTTAGAAGCCCTCGAGTTCTTTAATCTGCTTTCTAGAGGCGCTGTCACATCTCAGCCTGCAGAGAGCAGCTGGCTGTGAATGGATTGTTCCCTGAAGAGGTCGAGAGGCCAGGAGGCCCTTCTGTACCTGGCAAAGAGTGTTCTAAAGAGGGTGGCTGCTGCTAATTTTCCAGAATGAACCATTTAAGTTCTGTCTCACCCTTCTATTTACTCCAATCCAGGCTGCTTTGTCAGTTGTCACTGGGTCTCTGTGTTTCACAGTTGGATGACAAGGGGGGTGTCTTATTAGTTATCCTTTTTATCTTTTTATTGGTGATTGGTTTGTCTTAACCCCCTAAAAATAGAGGAAGATTCTACAGAGGATTGAGGAACTGGAGTTAAAGGGACCTGATTGGGTCTCTGTTGATGTGCAATTTAGGGGCCAGCTAATTGGGCCCTCAGAGCCCCAGCTTTGCCCCATCTACAGCTGTGTGAGGCATTGCTTGGCTAGGAGCCACAACGAGGCTCCCACCCAGTCTCCATAAGGAGAACTGAGCAGGTAGCTAGGCCAAGAAGGAGAACGCCACAGCAGGACATCACCTGGAGAATAATAGAGCGGGGCAGTCCAGGGCCCATCAAGAGGACAGCAGAAAGTGTCCCTTTGTTTCTCATGACCTGGGCATAAAGCACGATGGGAAGAGCTGATATCCAGCCCTCCCATCTCATGGACATTGTTGCTTTTACCTGAACACCAACAGTCATTGTGGGACAAGAGTCACTTCCAGTTAGAGGAAGAAGAGTTGGGGTCAGGATCACTGTCTGCTTTTTATGCAGGACATAAAGATGCCTAACCAGGGAAGCTGGGAGCTGTGGAGCTGCCCGAAAGAAGGGTGCCCCTTTCGCAACTGCATGGAGTCATCTGAGGCTGCTGCCTCTGGCCCATGAACTAGCTGTACGAATAACAGTCAGTAGTAAAATAGATGTTTCCAAGAAGGCAGACAGGGAGGGACTAAGTGCCAGGAACTAAATTCTCCAAAGTCAGAGCAATAATGGGAAAGTAACTGCTTTCAAGATCTCCTTTGCTCCTTTGCACCTCTGAAGGAAGTGTGGTGCCTGTTGGCTGACGAGGAAATCGATCCTTGGGGAGACAGGCAAAGTGCAGGTGTACCTTGCTAGAGAGCCTTTACTCTCGGCCACTGACCTGTAGTCAGAACTTTGCATGGATGTCTAGCTCAGTGTAGCTTGTAGTTTGTTTTTGTTTGTTTTTGCATTTGCTAAGGTAAGACATGTGACTACCTTTAAGTGAGAGAGGTACTTGTATTTTCATGGTAAGAAAGAAGTAGGGGGTTTTAGAGACCAACGAGGACAAGCCCCTCTGAGAGAAGGGTTTTCAGTAAGGTGAAGAGGGCAGAGTGGGATAGCACAGACCCTGGGTTTCACGCTGTCCCTACTGTAGGAGAATGACTCTAAGATTGTCCCACCCAGCCTATTGAGTTCCCAAGGGGTGTGGCAGGGCCCAGGGAAGGTGTTGATCCAACAGTCTGCCCTACATAAACCTAGGCTCTCACTTGAGTACCAAAATGAGCCTATGAACAATGTGAGGTGAAAGTGAGATGTAGTAACTAGTTTAGGACCCAGTATATCCTTAGTCATCTTCCTCTGAGGCCACTTGAAACCCATAACAAATGTGAAGTAGTATTTTAAATGTTTGGGGCTAAAAACAGCATCAAGCCAGTTGTATGATTATTTATCAGCTCACTGCTCTACTGTAGATTTAAAGTCAGTATAAGTGATTTATTTCCCTCTACTAAGTTTATAAATCCCTTAACACTTTCATTCCCTTCCTGTTAAGCTGTGGTGTCTTCCTACCCTTGATTTTTTTTTTTTTTAGTAGCAGGAGTAATTTTTTTACTGAAGTGTAAACACAGTGATTGGGGCCTGCATGGTGACCCGAATTGTGTTTGTAACTGTCTGAATTTGAGCAATGATTTATCCTTTCATTGGAAAAGAAAAGAAGATGGCAGACAGTAGCGGGACTGTCTCCCTGGTACTTGCTGAGAGTGTGCCTTACATCAGCGGAGGGGACTCACGGGACCAGCATCTTTCATCTCTAGCTTGCAAAGCTGGGCCTGCTTCTGCCCCGGAGAGGGCAGTGTTGCCAAGGAGTGGCGTGTCCTACTGCCTGTTCATCTCGCTGCGCCGTCATGTAGATAGAGATGGCTTCATACTTCTGTTTGGCTGACTTCATTGATTCCATAATCTAGAACCTTCACTTGGTGAGCTAGAAACAAGGACCTCCAAGCTTCCTGTGCAAATAGGGAGCTGGGATTCTCATCCACCTCTGTGTGAAGGGTATGGGGGGCCAGTTCCAGAGCGGCGGAGGTGAGAGTCTTGGGCCATTGAGCCTGTACTAAAAATTCTGGTCAAGCTGATGAAATAAAGTGTCATGGTAGGTCCTTTCCCCTGAGCAGTAGTTAAAACACAACAACCACATAAAGTAGATACTCATCCCTGGTTTAGAAGTGAACAATCAGGCCCAGAAAAGTTTAAGTGACTTGACAAAAATTACACAAGATTGGAATCGGTCAATCTGACACAGATACGCTCCTGGCCAATCTTAAGCCTCTATTAGAGCTGTGTTGAGAAGGGGGCATGTAGCAGTAACTTGTGGGTTAGTGTGATGTCACTGCTAGACAGCTCTCAGGCTTTGCACAATGCCTCAGTAGAGGAGAGGGACGTCCAGCTACTAAATGGCAGGGCCGACACACAGTTTGCCTCTTTGCAAGGAAAACCCAAAATAAGTGTGTAGAGCCCAGGGTACAGCTCAGTGGCACAGCACCTGCCTGGCAAGCACCAGGTCCTGAGTTCAATTCTCAATTACTCCCCACATCCTACCCCACCCAAAAAAAGTATTTTTGACAGCTCTTGCCGGCACTGAAAGATGGTCTTGGGTAGAGCTACCTTCCTTCTTCTTTGGGACATAGCTCAGCCCTGGACAAGGTGTCCTCCCAACGTAGGCTATTTCTCTGTCTCTATGAACTCCCAGCACAGCAGTCAGTCAGTCAGTCATTGGTTCTGCTTTTGGATTTCCCTCACACTTTCATTGAACTTGTGAGTGTGTCTGCACAGACTGAGCGGCTCCCCATCAGGGTTGGTGTGATATGATACACGCCTCTCCCCACAAACAGCAGGCGCCAAGATCCAACCATCAGTGTTTTCCTTAATTTGATGAGGTTCACGGTAACTGTTTTAAGCTTTATAAACTGACTTGTTTCTTAAAAATCACTGGAGTCAGTTTCTAAAGGGTGAGCCCATCCAGCGTAGAAACCAAAGAGCTTCTGATTGCACAGGTCATGCCTGGGCTCAGGAGGTGACTTTGCAGCACACCAGAGTTTGAAAACCGCAAGTTAGCATGGTTAATGATCTCATTCTGCAAAGTTTCAGGGACTCTAGCTGTAAAATGTCTGCTACAGAAGAATTCTAACAGCGCACTGATGAATGTTTGCATGACGTTTTTCTTGCAGACTTCTTACCAACATAATGCTGGAGCAAGCGACCGGCAGTGCACGGCTTTCACCATGGCTGAGCTGGACGCCGATTTGGATCACATCATCCCGTCTTCTATCCTTCCCCCTTTTTGGGCTAAGTTAGTAGTGGGATTTGTTTCCCTCCTGTGTTTTGCACGGAGCTATGATGGAGATTTCGTCTTTGATGACTCTGAAGCTATTGTTAACAATAAGGTTTGTTATCTTAACTCTTTTCTGGGGAACTTGACCTTATCCACTTGCCTCTGTCCCCAGAATTACCTAAGTTGGTGTTGAATTCTGTGTTAAACTTATGTTAAGCATTTGCCCCAGGTGTGGTGTAGATTTCCCATTTCTTTTGCTATCATCTCCTGAATCCGTGTCTCTGATAACCAGCAGCGGGGTCTGCAACCCCTCCTCAACCACGTGAGGCCTGGTCCTCACATGGATGAGAGAGATGCTAAGACTGCAGGACCAAGGTGTCACAGGGCACTGCAGACTCCATGTTTCAGGGCTTATGAACAATTTCCAGAACTGGCCAAAGAAGAAAATCATGATCGTGCAGTGATGCATCCGTCTGATCACCCACTGGAACATGCGTCCCCAGTAGTGGCCAGCTGTGTCTGTCCTTGACTGGGACTGTGAGGACAGCCTGCTGCCAGCTGCCAGGCCATGCACCGCGCCGCCCAGGGAAGCCGCGGCCCTCGCTCATTTCCCGATTGAAGATGCAGGTCTGCTGAACTTGCAAAGTCCCAGGCAGCCTTGCTCACCAGTTGCAGCTGTCAGTACAGAGAAATTGCTCTTTTTCACTAGCTAACCAGCTTAGGGAGAAGAAATTGGTTTGGGGGAAGAGAAGAAGATTCAGGCAAACCAAAGAGAATTCTGAATAAGAAACTCAGGCAGGGAAGGCCCAGAGAAAAAAGAGCTCGGACATGACACAAGAACGTGCCTTTGTGACTGCCCTTTACTCAGCAGTCTGGGTGTGTCGCTTGACTAGAGACAAGGGTTTGAAGGAATGTGCGCATCTTTTTCTCCCGGGAAGGTAGAGATCTCTGCAGCTGTTGGATGCTCTTAAAAATAGGAAGTTGTGGGTTCCACCCAAGGAGGACAGAGTCATGTTCTGAAAATGTTGAGAGCTGCCTGCATAAAGAGCAGTTATGCTTTGAGGTGGAGGGCAATGGACTTGCAGAAATTTTATTCCAAACATAATATTGCAATTAAGTTTTTCTATTTCGGTGGCCTACCTAGAGCATTGCTGATGGCTACTGTCAATTTCTTCATTGATTGGTTCTCTCAAGTTCACCCAGCAGTTGGAATAGATGATTCTGTTTGAGTTTTAAATCATACTTTGAAAACTGCATAGCTCTAAAGCAGCATGGGCAAAACAATGGTTTATTAGCCACCAAATTATTTTAGTAATGAGAATTGATTTTATTTTTAAATTCTGTTACCTTTTTTCTTTTGTATTTTAGGGAAGGGTCTACAGGGTGGTGAGGGTCTCATTAGATCAGACTCCTAGTGATCTGCCTGTTTACAGCCTCCCAAGAGATGGGATTACAGACGTGCACCACCACACGGGCCCAATCTTAGTTGCTGTCTCAGTTTGCCCCGCTGGCAGGGCCTGCATGGCAGGCCCAGGGATCGAACCTCTGGCCCCTGCGCCTGCTTGCAGGCACTTTAATCCTCTGAGCTATTTGGCCACCCACTATTCCTTGTGTGGATGTGACTTGTTTGACTCTTCCACTTGAATATATAATGTGAATTGGAAAATTCCCAGGCAGGCAGGACAGAGCAAGAGCTCGGCGAGGCGTGGGTGCCACGGTGCACCGATGTATTTTGCGCTGCTTTGGCATCTTGTGCCTCTGCTGGGCGTGGTCTAGCAGAACACGGCCATGTATCCTTACGTTGGCACGCCAGCCCTGCCTGCCTCCTGTTTTGTGGAAGGCACTGCCTACAGGGTAAGGCTTAGCTCCTGTGGGGCCAGTGGAGGTGAAGACCTGCAAAGAGCTTCTGTGCAGTATTGAGTCGCCTCTTTCGTTCCTTGAGATAGTAATTGCCTTCGAGACCACAGAATTGGGAGGGATCTCAGGCACAATCTGTCATTTCCATAAACCACTATGAGGGAAAATTTACCTTTCTTACTGTCCAACACCCTGCTGCACAGCCTAGTTTGTGCCTAATCAAATATTTAGGCCTTGTTGGTGTTGAGTTTCCCTACAAAGGAAGAGGAAGACCCTCCACCCAGCCCCACTGCAATTGAACAAGCACTTCCATGACACTGCAAAAAAGAAAAAAAGAAAAGAAAAGAAACGAGCCTCCCAGTTCTGTCCCCGAGTGCACTGAGTTAGCGGGTGGTGTCTGTGCCTTTCACAAACACCTCAGCAGCTGGAGGAGCCACTGGTGCTCTCACAGACCCTGAAGCTGATCCCAGTGTACGAGAATATCACCCTGACAGCAGGTATCAAGTGGCAAACTGCATCTGTCCCGTTATCTCCAGGCTTCCCCCTCTGAGCCAGTGGCCACTTAAGTAACAAGTACTGTAGTCGTGTGCAGTGTGGCCACTCATGCTCTTGGGAACAGCTGTCACTTGAGGACGGTTTGACCTCGTGTGAGGGGCATCCCGGGATGAAGCAGGTGCCGGTGTCCATGCAGGAATCCAAATCTGGCACACCCACCTGCTGGAGGCAGAGCCAGTCTTGTGACAAAGTGGGGGTGTGGCCAGCAGCCTTGGCAGTGTCCAGTGGTGCGGTTCGGTTCGTGGGTGGGCCCCCCAACCTGATTTTCTAGTGACCTGGTGAGCCCGGGAGCCTCCGTGCCTCTCTAAAGCAGTCCTCTCTGCCTCCAATTTGTTCCATTCCTAAGAAGAGGGATCCTAACTACACGAGTGATGCTTAGCATGTTCCGTTTTAGCCATTGGTGCTGGCGATGAGACCAGGGACCTTTGTAATAAGCTATGTCCCCAGCCTGTTTTTTGTTTTTTTTTTGTTTTTTGTTTTTTGTTTTTCTATTTTGAGACAGAATCTCACTAAGTTACCCCACCAAGGGTCAAACTTGTCATCCTCCTGCCTTAGCCTCCAGAATCGTGCAGCCACATTCTAACTTCTCCCTAAAACATCCCTGTTTAATTCTCCTCTGAAGATAAAACTAATAACCAGATTTGCAGTTTACCTCACATTGCCGTGTCTGCCCTTCATACCATGTGCTTTCATATTTTAAATATGAAGATGCGTTTCCAAGTATATTTAGTATAGTACCAAATTAAATTACCTCAGCTGTAAGACAGGTACAGTTTTTTAATAGTGATTCTTATCTAAAAATGAGATGGAAGGGTTTTTTTTTTTTCCTTCTAATTTCACAGTCTGCTTAATTCATGATGAAAATAGCTTTTAAAAAGTTTATCCGCTGTTATGTTTGAGTTGCGATACTTTTGCTAAATTGCTTTACTTATTAGATATGAAAGGAAAACAGTGACCTTATTTAGCTAAATGTTCCCTCTCTGCACCTTGTATTAAGTCCCCTCTGTTTACTCTCAGCAAGATCAGATGTGGCCCGTGCCCGGTGAAGCTCCGGTATAGTGATCCAAACAGATAGTGTGGTGACTGTAAGCTCCTTTAGTGCCAGGCACTGCAGGGGTGGGTGGGAGACACCCCGAGACCCACAGACGGAAGCAGAGGTGCTGTTCTAGGGAGCTCTTTGCACAGAGCTGCTGGATGGAAGCTCACAGGAGCAGGGCAGCACACTTGGAGCTGCACCTCAGGCTGTGGTGGCTCCACCAGGATATCCACATTGTCCCAGAGCTGTCAGGAGCTATGGCAGCATTTTAAACTGGCTGGCATGGGTGGAGCCGAGATGCACCTTGTAATATTTGACTCAGAGAATAAGTCAGAGGGGTAGCAGCTCTCCAGGAGGCCTGGTTGCCTCCCGAGTGGGAGAACCTGGGCTCTGCCCAGGGCCAGAGAAAACCTAGAGGGTGGGGTGGAGTTGGGAGCTCAGAGACTTTTACGGGAGTACTTGGAGAAGGCTTTGCTGTGGGGCTATGCAAAATGTCCCCTGCTGTGTCCCTGCAGGACCTTCAAGCAGACACACCCCTGGGGGACCTGTGGCATCATGACTTCTGGGGCAGTAGACTGAGCAGCAACACCAGCCACAAGTCCTACCGGCCGCTCACCGTCCTGACTTTCAGGTGAGGTATGACAGTGGGGGCTGGGGTGGGGGGGTAAGTCTTGCCTGTGACATTTCCCATGGCTCTGCCATCAGGTTCTCAGCTTTGGGAAGTCCAAGGGGTGGTTCCCAGAGAGAAGTCCACACTGATTTCAGCTCTCAGAATGTGGCTGCAGGGAGATGGGGAGGGTAGCTGGGGGAGCTTCACTCCCTGCGCTCACTGCCGGCTAAGGCCGGCACATGCAGGGGAACTTAGCCCTGAGTACAGGCTGCGCTGGTCAGCACGGCAGTCCCTGCTGTTGCTTTCTTAGAGGTTCCACCCTTTGTGAGTTGGTTAGTACAAGGGAACGAGTTGATGTGTATCGAAGCAGTACATGGCGTGCGATTTATTTTCTTGACAAAAAAAATGAATAAGGTATCAATCTTCCAACCATAGCTAGCATGCCAAATAAAAATGAAGCTTACCAACAGCCTCCTCGTCCCCATTAATCAGGGAGCTGTTGTACTGAATAGACCTAGTCGCCTTGCAAAGGTTCTCATCTGCGCTGTTTCTCAGGCACATTGCAGTCCAGCACACAGAGCTTGGAGAGGCGAGGGAGTGATGAATTGGAATCACCAAAATAAGAATTGCTGATGGCAAGCAGGTGTTTTGATGGCAAAGGCCAACTGGCCCGCTGTTAAGAGCACTTTGCTGTGGCTAATCAAGTCTCTTGACTCTCTTAAACCGAGTCTGGGAAGCAGTTGCATGTGCCGTTGTGTCTTCTTACAATGCAGTCCTTCCTCTGATGTACTTAAAAAATTGTCTCGCTTTGGATTTTCTTCTCTCCACCCTCTGAAAATTGTCCCTCGCTTCCGATTTCCCCTCTGTGGCTAATTATGTTCACACCATTTCTCTGGCCTTCTTAGCTTGCCAGACATGAATAATAGCACAGCACTATTTTTACCAAAGAGGCACAGTACCTCGCTCACCTGCTTTCCGCGTCGCACATGGCCACCATCACAGTGTCACATGCCTCTCTGCCTCCCACATGAACACCTGTGCTTTTTTTTTTTTTTTTTTTTTTTTTATTTGGAGGGGGGGCAGCTCAGCCCACTAGGGGGCAGGGCTGGCTGGCATGTGGTGCCGGGGGATTGAACCGCGGTCCCTGTGCTTTGCCAAGCTTGTTCTAAGTAGGTGCTTTAGACCACTGAGCCATCTCACCAGCCCCACCTGTGCTTTTTGCAGGCTTAACTACTACTTCTCCGGAGGCTTCCACCCCGTGGGCTTCCACATGGTCAACATCCTCCTGCACAGCGGTATCTCTGTGCTCATGGTAGATGTCTTCTCAGTGCTGTTCGGTGGCCTGCAGTTCACCAGTAAAGGTCGGAGGGTGCACCTGGCTCCGAGAGCGTCACTGCTGGCAGCTCTCCTGTTTGCTGTCCATCCTGTGCACACTGAGTGTGTAAGTATTGCCCACCTTTGACACTGCACATGTGTAAGACCCGGCGAGGTATGTGTGCTGCATTTCCTAAAACAGGCTCCCTTTGTGCCACCACTCACTCGCCATGGTCTTGAACTGCAGGGCACATGTGCCACATATGCTCTAGGAATGAAAAGTGCACCCCACAGACACCCCACCAGAGACCTGTGTGTGTGTGTGTGTGTGTGTGTGTGCGCGCGCGCATGCGCGTGGGGAGGGTAAGTGGTACTAGGTGTTGAACCCACAGCCTTTGTACTAGGATATATCCCCAGCCCCTTTGTTATTTTTTATTTTGAGACAGGGTCTCACTAATTTACTCAGGCTAGGCTTGAACTTGTGATCCTTCTTCCTTAGCCTTCCAGAATGCTAGGATGACAGAAATATACTTCTGTACCCAACAAGAGATGCGAACACAAATGCTGCCCTGCTAGGGTGACTTTATACTAAAGCTAAGGTATGGTTTCTAGTGTGGCTGCCTGCTTATCTTGTGTGGTGCCAGTGGTCACAAAGGTGTGGATATCAACACCGCCTGGCTCTGGGGTGATCAGTTAAGGACCGCTCTTCAGCATCGGGTCCCAGGCAGTTTTTCTAAGGTAGCTGACAGCACCATGGTTGGTAGCACACTTCCTTGCCATTGCTGTCATAACCATGCTGGATGTCAGGTGGGTGCGTGCAGCACTCCCCACTTGACAGATGAGGTGGTGGTGTGGGAGGCTACATAAAGGACCTGCCTAGAGGTCATAACAGCTGAACATGGGGAAGGACCTGACTCCTGGCCTTCCAAGGCCCACACCAGAGAGATGCTGAGTGCGAAATGCTCAGATATCCCCCCTTCTCTAGCTCGTGTCCCCCGCTG